TTAATGTTTGAATACTATAATCCTTTTCCTAAATCGCCAACTATTGTGACAGGTAAACGTATAATATTTTAAAGCAATGTTCATTGTACCTTTCGTATGGACCCTTTCGCAAAACATGATACATGAAAATAATTTTTGAATTTTGCTGTTTGTACAATCATTCATGACAACTTTGTTAATAATATGGTGTGTTGACAAAAAATTGTTGACTACAAAATTTTTTTTTTATTAAAACAGTCCAATGATATAATGACACGTGACGGAATTATATAAACAAAATTGTGAACAAAACTATACATCGAGCATGACTCATAATTTTCAGCTTAATGCAAGGTAATTCAGGATCTTTTTATGAGACGACACATATGAAAATGGTTGAGAAGTGATTGGTTATGGAATGGGAAAATAATGCACGGCGTCTACCCTCATATTTTGGAGGCCTCATGCCAACTTTAATATATACTAGTCAAAGTTGAACGTGCAATGGACATTAATTTGAAATACATTATAAGTGTTGTGAAAAAATAATATTTGATCCTTCATTTACCATTTTGATCTAAATATGAGAGAAGTGCAAGCACTTGAAAATAAATGTTGATTATTATACATACACGCAAATAATGAAAATGCATATTTGAAAGTGAGTATTAGAATTACAACTAAATGTATAAATGAAGATAGATGTCAAATACAATACATGAATTATTGTGAATGTTAATTAATTTAGAATTAATATCAGGGAATATATACGTTACAATAAATGTTGATTTATTTATACTAAATGAATAAAATTTACTTTTCAATTAAGTGAAACTGGGTACTAATTACAATACATGGACGTGAATAACGAACTTCATTCTTGAATGTGAAATTCTAATTAATATTAATTAAATAAATGTTAATGTTAATTGATTGAAAAATAATAACAAGGACGTGGACATAAATATGAATGTGAAATTCTAATTACTATTAATTAAATGAATGTAAATATTAATTAGTTGAGAATTAATAACAAGAACTTGTGAGTATGAATTTGAAATTCTACTTAATAATAATTAAATGAATGTGAATGTTAATCAATTGAGAAGTGAATACAAGCATGAACAAGATTTTTGTAGTTTTCATTATAATTTGTAAATTAAATACATATTGAAAAAAGAAAAATCATGTATTATTAAAATAATTGAATCGTAACGGGGATAAAATCGTCCAAAATGAATATGAATATGAATATGAAAATATTAATTAAATAAATCTGAATATTAATTAATTAAGAATTAATAATATGAACATGGACGTGAATGTGAAATTCTAATCAATAGTAATTAAATGAACGTGAATGTTAATTAATTGAATACATGCATGAATAAGGATTTTGTAATATTTATTATCGTTCATAAATTAAATACATATTGAAAAACAAAAAGTCAAATATTGTTGAAATAATTGAATTGTAGTACGATTTTCAATTAATTGAAAATGTGTGCAAATTAGAATACGTGGACATGAATAACGAACTTCGGTCTTGAATGTGAAATTCTAATTAATATTAATTAAACAAATGTAAATGTTATTAATTGAGAATTAATAACAAAGACACGTACGTACATATGAATGTGAAATTCTAATTACTATTAATTAAACGGATGTGAATGTGAATTTGAAATTCTAATTAATATTAATTAAATGAATGTGAATATTAATTAATTGAGAAGTGAATACTGAATACATGCATGAACAAGGATTTTGTAGTTTTCATTACAGTTTGTAAATTAAATACATATTGAAAAATAAAAGGTCAGGTATTATTGAAATAGATGTAATCATCCAAAATGAATGTGAATATGAAATTCTAATTAATATTAATTATATAAATGTGAATGTGAATGTTAATTAATTAACTAAATAAATGTGAATGTGAATTAATTAATTAAATAAATGTTAATGTTAATTAATTAATTAATAATTAATAATATGAACATGGATGTGAATGTGAAATTCTAATTAATATTAATTTAAAGAAATTTGTAAATATAATTTTCATTTTTCTTCAACCAATCAATTAACCTTACATATTTGACAATACGTTCTTTCAAAACTGGTAGGATTTTTTTCTCTTTGCAAATAACTCTTGCCCTAGGTAGTAACATATTAGGTGCAGCGCTACGACTCCACCAGACCACCATGGGCCACGTCACACTAGCCGATTGCTAGACCACCGGACCCAACTATCTAAATTTATGATCGATTTATTTTGAGTTTGTGTATAAATGGTTGACTTTTTGTATTGAATCTAGTCTGGTGTGGTTAGGGGTGTCCAAAAGTCCCGAACCGAACCGAACCCGAACCGAACCGAGCGGTTCTTCATAAATTAAATACCCGAACGGGTACCCGAATCGAGAACCGATGGGTTTGGGTAAAAACAAACTCCACAAACCAGCTTTTAGTCATCACAACAAACCTTCTCTTAGCTTCAACAGCAGCTGGAGATGGCGCAGCCATGGAACTATATTGATTGTGCTACTGCTCCATCTTGGTTTGTAACTGAAAGTATGCTCATGACAGAAGGCGAGCAATTTCAACAGAACTATATTGATAACAGTGATGATTCTTCTTGGATGCAGTTGCCCATATTTCAAGAGGCATTTTCTAATCCAGCCATGGAACCACTTTGCTGCCGTGACTGTCAGCTTGATGAGATACACGGATTTGAGCAGGCTAGACAAATTTCATTGTCGTTTGATCAATTTATTACCGGAGTTGAACTTCCTGCCACTGAAAATGATTCGTTTTGTACTGGAGTGGAATTGACATCGAATCAAGTTGATAATTCTAGTACTGGTCGATCTTTTGTGCGCATATAGATAAGTTAATTTTTTTAGTTAGGATTGTGAGGACCTGTAGATGAGTAGATCGCGCTTGTAATAAGTATTTAAAATTGTATGATGCTACAAAATTATTTGTACTTTAATATTGGGAAACAAACTCAAAAGGCTTGGCTCTGCACCCATCTACCCACAATCAATTTAAAAGAAAGCTTTGTCCTTTTATTGCAAAAATTCTCACGTTATCTCCCAATTGTTACACCAAATCAATAATGTTTCTTTTATTTCCTTACTTTTAATTTCAACAATTAATTTATTTAAAAATTGTTTAATTACAAATTCTATTACAATAAAATTACTAAATTTAAAAATATATTTAATTAACTAAATATTACATTTATTAATAAATTAAAAAAAAATTACATTTAATACCACAATTAAAAATATTATATTTATCATTGCAATATAAAAAATTACATAAAATATAAAAAACTTTCATAAAAGAAACATAAAAACTTTTGAACAGTACTAATTACGTAAAAAATAAATAAAAATTACATATAATATTAAAATTTTCACTAAATTACATTTGTTGTAGTGCTCATTTCTTCTTAATTTGTAATTATCAAATTTGTAACTTTTAAATTTTAATGTGTGATTATATTTTAATGTATTATGTAGTTATTATTTATTACCCGTACTTAATTACAATTTATTATAAATGATAATTGTTGACATCCGACCTTTGAGGTCGATAAGTGCAGTTTGGTGTATGCGATAAGTTTGTGCTAACGTGAGATTAGTATATGAGGTCAGCTTGGATTATGTAGTCTGTTGAGGTCGAAGGGAACATAATGATTAAAGATTTCTTACACAAAGTACTTACAGTCAATCAGTAAGTGGCATATGGACGATCTTACATCAGCGCTCGCCAAGTCTACCAATCATATGTTTTAGCTTCCTTCCCTAAGTAATTCATTAATTGTTGGGGACCACCTGTAAGGTTAAACTCATGATGACTTGACAAGCCGAGCTCGTTAACCAATCCAAACATGCTAGTAGTGTACCATCTCAGTTCGGTACTATAGCTAATAAGATTGGAAATGGAGGATACATGCAGATTTCTCCCTATAAGAGGAAGGAGGGGAAGAAAAGGAAACAACAACACTTCCACTGAAAAATACTCTCACATTTCACATTTGAAATATCCCCTTCAAAGAGAGAAGGAATTATTGATATATGATTCTTGTAACCTATGACTTACAATCAATGAAACTCTTGTTTACATCCTAAGTTGGCTTGAATTTTGTTCATACAATTTACAACGTCAACAATAATAATAAAAATCAAAATACAAAAAATATAAATAAAATTAAAATAAGTAATAAAAGGATACAAAAGGAATTAAAATTTATTGTAGTACAAAGGAATAAGAAAAACTATATACTACAGCTAATGAAAAGTGTTCCGTCAAATTTGATGCAACACTATTCATTAGACTAATTTGGTGCCAACATTTGAAGTTGGGTTAGAGGCCAATTACCAAAATGCCTTTTTACGCCAAACTGGTATTGGGGTGGAAATTGGAATTGCTCTAAGGGTGCGTTTGATTGCAAGGATGTAAAATAGGTGAGAAGAAAATATTTTATAGAGAAAAGATTTGCTTAGAAAATGTTTTACAGGGAAAATGATTTCAAGTGTGTTTGATGGTATAATTTTTCATCCGGAAAATTTTTAAATTTTTTGTTCGTTTGACTTTGTTTTACATGGAAATTGTCCATTAAAGTGATTTTTTTTTTTTTTTTATTGTTTATAAAATTTGTTTTCATTGCCAAAAGGTAAAAAAAAAA